GTTGTTTGTCAGGGATGATGGCTGAGGGATATGTGCACTCAGGGGAGGGCCGCTTCAACCAGAATTGCTCACATTTTCCATCCCAGGTGCCAGACATCTCTCTTCTCTCCCCACCGCAGAAGCAATGAGGGTTAGGTCACCTGGCTTAGAGGCAGACAGTTGATAGCTAGGCCCCCAAATTTCAGGCCTTTGAAGATCTGCTATTACCTTTCAATTCCCCCTCCACGGGTGAAATGGGAGCTGACTGACCAGCAGCTCTTACACTTAAGCAAAAAGGTTTCTGACTAATTCTTCACCCCCCCAGCTCGACTTTTTTTCTGCCATGAGACTGCCCATGGGGGCCCATCGACCAAACCTCCCGATGGTTTTTCTGGACAACCCTCTTTTCATGATCCTCATATTTAACTATTTGTTGTTTGCACTGCCCAATGCAGCGGCCACTAGCCATACGCAACTATTTACACTTAAATTTATTTTGTATTTACGTATATCAGATAAATTTATATTAATAAAAGTTAGAGAAAAAAATTAACAGTTTACTTTGTTGTTTTGAGTGCTCAGTAGCCATCTGTGGCCACTGGCTACTGCTTGTGCATCTAGAGAACATTTCCACTGTCATAGAAAGTTCTAGTGGACAGCTCTAATCCACACAGCCAGAAATGCCAGTATATTGGCAGCCACAGTTCCATCTCATGGACCATCTCTCTCTCATGGAAGGTCCTAAAGCTCCCTTGACTTTTCAAGTGAATCCATGTGAGTTCCCAAAATGTCAGGGCCTGTTGGGGTTAGAGGCCCCCTGGCCAAGGATGCCTCCAAAGACATGTCCTCTGTAAGATTCACGAGCGCCATGTTTGTGTGCCTGCCGTCCCCATGCAGTGGGTCACGCAGGACCCAGCCAGAACGGTGTGTGGGATCTTCGAGACTTCACTCCATTTGTAAAGGAAGGAACTGGGCGTCCATGAGTTTCATCCAAGCCCTCAGCCCTGGCAGCCGCATGGGACAGCTGGGTGGCTGGATGTGGAATCCAGTGTTGGCAGAAGGAGGGCAGGGTAGGCCTGAGAAAACCACAGCTGGGGATGGATGCTTCTAGACCTGCCCTGCCCTCGGTGGGGGTTAGGGTGGAAAATGCTTCTCAGAGCCTCTCCACTTCCTTTCTGGACCTCTTGGAGGGGAGTCTTGGCTGCAGAGGGAAGAGAAAAGGATTTTTTTTTTTTCTCCTTCTTCTTCTTCTTCTTCTTTTTTTTTTTGCTTTCCCTTCCCCACTGCAGAGAGAAGGGGCACATTGGAGTAAGAGGTTTAACCAGAAGCAGTTTCTCTTTGGACCGGGGGCAGTTGGTTACTCCCTGCCAGCTCCTGCAGGCAGAAAGCACGGCAGTCTGGCCTGCCGCCCCAGCCCTACCTGTCATGTGCTCGGCAAGTCCGACTTGAGTCCTTTTTTCCACTGCCTCCCTACCCCGTCACACTGCAATTGCAACCTCTCATTTTTCTGCTGCCTAGATGATTAAAAAGCATGACTTAGTGGAAAAATCTCAACCTCCTTAGGGTCAGCCTCTTAAGCAGCTGTTGAAGATAAGATTGTGCCGGCAGAATACTCAGCCACACTCTGCAAGGCTTTCTGTCTTCACGGGAGGAAATGAGAAGCTGATCGGTTCCGGGTGCATGTTGTTTGTCTTGGGAGAGAGCTCCAGTTTCCAGAGGTATCAATTGGTATTATTGGATACAAAATTAAAATCTTTGATGGAAAGGTGAGAATATTAGAGTGCTTTTTTTAAAATTCAGGGAGCAGACTTTGTCAAGGAAAAAAGAGTTTTTTTGTTTTGTCGTTTTTTTTTGTTTTTTTGTTTTTTTTTAACAGCACCTGCTTTGAGCAATTCAGGGAGCAAAGTTCTCTGGCAGCTGAGCAGTATCAGAAATTCAATGCTCAGCCTTCCCCCCAAGGATTTAAGAGACTTAATTGTGCAGCTCCTGGTAGGGAAGGCATTGTTTGGAGTTATTTTAATTACCATGTGAGAATTGCCACCTCTTGCTTACCGAATGCGTACTTACTGTCATCTTGTTGATACAGTTCCAAAGAGGACATTGCGATTTTAATTCAGCATATGTCCTCAAAGCATTTTCTCATCTTTGTGTCTGCCAAGAATTTGTACCCATCTGGTGAGACGCGAAGGTCGCTTTGCTTTTCAAAAGGAGAAACTGAGTCACGGGCGGTTGAGAGGACTTGACTGGGGTTATGGAAGTGATGTCAAGGACACAGTGAGGACCTGGAGTCTGTAGCTCTGCGCAGTGTGTTATCCAGTGAGCACCTCATCTGAAGTCCTGTAGCTCTGAGGGCAGGTCCCCATTCAGCCACTTCCTAGCTGTGTGGCCTTGAATAAGTTGCTTGCTTTCTCTGTGCTTCAATTTTCCCTTCTGTAGAATTGGCTCACACTACTCAATACTTAATAGGATTATTGTGAAGGTTGAGCTTCTGCCCAACAAATGTGCCTGGCTTCTCTTCCGTCAGCACCATCATCTTTTTAACATCCTAACCCCCTAATTTTAGTTAAAGACCTATTCCCAGCCTAAAACAAAATTACACGCTCTCCACTCCCACCATGCTTCTCATCTTCCTACAGCTGGCCTCCCTCTGTCTTGTCCCTTTCGCTCTTCCTTGGCTCCGGCGATCATAATTAGAATCCGGTTGCTGGGACGTCACAGGTGGGTCAGAGGGTAGAGGCAGGTAGGTCAGAGGGTAGAGGCAGGGGCCAAGGTCTGCGCTGAGCCAGGTGTCCAACTCCTTTTGACATTTCATAGCTCTGTCGCAGGCCCGGAAGATTTAGAACAACTCTCTAGACCAGGAATCTTATCTTCTAGACCAGGAAGCTCATCTTTAAAAGGCTGAGCTGCCCAGAGGTCATCCTGGCACCTGAGCTGGACGGCAGTTGACACCAAGTCTTGCCCACCCTCCCTGGTCAGTTTTCAATCTGTAAAATGGGCATCCATTCACTTTTCAAAAGGCCGAGGCCCTGAAAACAGCAGATCTAGGTTTGAATCCTGGCCCTTCCATGTGTCCCTCAGAGCCCAGGATCTCACGGCTCCTCAGGCATGGTCAGGCCTATGTGAGGTGAGGTCTGAAAGAGCTTTGCAAACTGTAGTGTGCTTTCCCCTGGCTGGGTTTCCCCTTCCTCACTCCCAAAGCTCGTGCGTGGAGGGCACCTGTGTTTCACCCCCATGGAGGGGCTCCTGGTCCAGTGAGGAGCAGTGAGGACAGGCCAAATAGACAACTTGACCCTCTCCCTGCTCAGCGCATCAGATATGTGTGCCCAGCATAGATCCGGGGCAGAACCACAAGGTCGGCTGCATCAGGAAGAGAAAGGCTGGAGTGGGGGTCTACTTTTGCCCCAACTCGTCTAGCCCCTCCTCTGGTTAATTTTCCTCCCGGCTGCCATTACCATACTTTTTATGAGCCTGTTAAGTCTTTAATGATGCTGGGTTGTGCAGCTGGCTTAAGGCTTAATCCCAGCAATAGGGCTTTATTGGATAAATGGTTAATAATCACTTGTCTACAGGGATTGGGGAGGTTTGTTGAGGCCCGTGACTCCCGAAAGCCCCATGTGGCCTGTGATGTGGCCTGTGGCGTGGTCTGTGGCTGAGCCAGCACTGCTGGGGGTTGGGGTGCAGGGAGATCGGGCACCACAGGAGCTGGGAAGGCCTGAGTTTATAGGAGACATTTCTTCTCCCTCCTGAGAATACAGGACGCTTGCCCATTGCTGGGGGCCTGTCTTGATCGGTGCCTGGTTCAGGCAATGCCCAGGCTCACTTGCAAATGTTGTCTCCCCCCACTCCCGATTTTGCTTTCCTTTCTCTTGCTGTTAACAGGCTCTGTGACCTTGAGCAAACCTCCTGGTTTGCCATTGGTTTCCTCATCTACCAAATGGAGACATTGGAAGAGATGGCCTTGAAGGTGCCACGTGGCTCTCAATGTCTGTGTCCTGTGAGCCTCAGTGTCCCAGACAGAGGCTCCTCTCCCCCGCTCTTGGGTCTGTCACCGAGGGCTGTAGATGGCAAGGGACCAGCAGCCCATTGGATTAAGTATTTAAGCTGCTGGGCCAAGAATTGGGTCAGCTGTAGCCACAGGGCAGTGTGTATGCAGGGGATCCTCAGATCCCCTCATGGCCCTTGATTTTATGGCCTGGTGCGGGGTTTCTCCCAGCGCTGGGCGGTACACACAGTAGGCGTTAAAAAAAAACAGCCTCACTGACGGGACTCTGAAAAGACTTCCAGGGGTAGAACCGCCAAGGAGCCAAGAGCTGTTCACAGCTGAAAAATTCTGTTCATGGCTTCCCTGTGACTGCGGCCATGCGAGCACATGTCCCTGATCAACCCTGATTTGGCCTTGACTTAAGAGTCGCAGCGAGATCAGGACCCATCTATGTGAGGGGCGGGGTGTTAGCGGGTCATGCGCACCGGGCTTCAACGGACCTGGGTTTGAATCCCATTCCTCTACCACTCATTTCCAGGCTGTTTGGTTTAGGCCACCTCCTTCTTCAAACCTGAGTCTTTAAGAGAGTATTAGCAGCAGGTGTTTTCAGCACGATTGTACTGGTTCAAAACGATGTATGTAGGGCACCTGGAAACTGGCTCCTCCTAGGCACTGATGGTCACCCTGAGGGGTGGGGGGTGTCAGTGCTAAGGTATTTGCAGCCATGCTTTTGGCTGCCAGGGTCACGTGCTGGCTGCAGGCAGTTGCGGTGTACTATGATGACATGATTTTAAGTTCTTTTATCTGCAAGTAAAAGACAAGAAAAGCTACGAACAGAGCCACCCCACAGATTTGGGGGCACTGCCCTGGAAACTTGCAGCTTCAGGATTAAAGTCTGCTGGGGGCCGGTTTCCTGGGCCGCAGAATGTGTGTGTTCCCTGGCTCCCGCTCAATCCTCCCCGTGTGTGTGCAGCAGAGGAACGGGATTTCTCTTTTCGGGGACTGTAGGTGATGGGGCCTCGCTCTGCTTTTCTTTTAGATCTTCCCCGACCCGTCGGACTTTGACCGCTGCTGCAAGCTCAAGGACCGCCTGCCGTCCATTGTGGTGGAGCCCACGGAGGGCGAGGTGGAGAGCGGGGAGCTCCGGTGGCCCCCCGAGGAGTTCTTGGTCCAGGAGGATGAGCCGGACAACTGTGAAGAGACAGAGAAAGACAACAAGGAGCAATAGAGTCCCTGTCGACCTCCTCGGGGGCCACACCAGACGGCATCTGTCCCTGAACTGTGTTCTTTCCCATTGTGATGGAAGAAGGAAGTGAGCCACAGTCGTTCTGAAAATGTCCAATGATGGCTTCCGTTTTGCACCTGCAAATCACCGAGTTGGTTTTCTTTTCTTTTCTTTTCTTTTTTTGAAATGTGCTGGGCAGTGGAGCCCTCTGTGACCATTTGCAAGGCCTTCTGAGAAAGGAAGCTGCTTAGAGCAGGGGTGGGGGGTGCGGGGAGGGAGGTGGTGCGTCTTCGAGATGGGTATCTGAACCGGCGCAGGCTAGAGGCAGCGGCGGGATTCCAGGGGGCCCTGGGGGACTGGGGAGGGGGGTAGGGAGTTGTGCATCGCCAGTAAGAAACATTCAGGTTAAGAGAACCAATGGGAGACAGGAGAAGGAAGATAAAATACCCGTTTGAAAGGAAGCCTTGAGCAGAGGAGGGCCGCTGGGAAGTTGCCCGCCAGTGGCTGCTGGGGTATCGAAAACGACGCGTTCCTCACTCTCTCCAGCTCTGCCCACCACCAGCCTTTGCTTTTATGTCAGCTATGTTGGTCTGTTCACAGGAGGCTGGGAAAGAAAAGCAGCAGAAACCGGCGTCTGCAAAGCCGGCTGGAGGCAAGCGTGGGAAAGGAGGATTCCCTGCTCCTCCAGCCTCTGCTCCGGCTGTGGCAGGTTCTGGAGGTTTCTTAAGAGGCAGCACTCTTGAGCTTCTCTCTCCTGATTTATCCTTTTGCCCTCCCCCAGCCCTTTAGGAGGAACGGGAGCACTTCCCACTCTGGGGGGGACATTGAGGTGGACGCTGGACACGAAGACCCCTCCCCCCTGCTCCCCCAGGCTTGCTCTGTTCTGAGCAGAGGCACAGAGCCCTGGCTGTACCAGGCCGGCCCTCCTTCTTCTTAGCACCATCTCTGCAGCCCCTGGGCCGAGCAGTCAGGCGGAGGTGACTCCCAGCCTGACCCGCGGTGGTACCCACTCCCGCATGGGCTCCCGGTCCCTTTTTCTGGTGGGAGCTGAGTGGAGAGAAGAGGAGACTCTTTCTGTTTCTTGTTGGGAAAGTGAGCTTTAAGGGAGGTCCTAGATCTGGGATTATCTGATGGGGGTAACAGGGCTCTCATGCAGCAGCCTGGGGACTAAGTGTGAAACTGAAGGGGTCATGAGATCCCCCTGGTTTCTCCTTGTGCTCTGGACGTAGGTAGATGGATGGCATGGTGAGGGAGCACTGAGTATTGGTCCTCATCCCTCTCTGCCCCTCACTTGTCCCCTACAAGGGCACAGTTGCACGAGAAAGCTAGCCTCAGACTTAGAGCTTCTTATAGTTAAGAACCATCTGGAGCAGCCGGTTGCAGGACACACTCTTGGAACCTTCTCTAGCTTTCAGCACAAGTGTGCAGCCGACAGCTGAGCTCCAGAGCCTCCCGGAGGCTGAACTGGGCCCATGGAGGCACGCTGGTAGCCCTCCCGTGGGTCTGGGTTGACCCCAGTTTGGGACTTGTGTATAGAGCTGTATTTAATACCTCAAGGTTAGTGTGGTTCGGGGGATCTGGGACAGGATGAGGGTGTGTGGTTGACATCGCGGCAGGATTTGGTTCTGGGAAGCTGACGCTCGCCCCTCCACTCCCCCCCCCGACCCGTGTTGTCTGCTTGTGTTATACACACCGATGGCAATAACTTCTTCCAGCTCCTTGGGGCTGGGAGAGGCCTGCAGCCTGCTCCACCAGGGCGTCTCTCCCTTGCTCCCGCTGGTCCTGTTCTGGCTGCACAGACTCCTCCCTCCTTCCTCATGCCCTCGCAGCAGCATTTCTTCTCCTGCACCTGCCTCCCTTCATGGATGGACTCTTGCCTTTTAAAATCCTGTGTTTCTGTGTCCCTCTCATCTGTCCTGGTCTTGCCGTGTGATGGGAACGTGCTTGTAAACTGCATAACAAATCTATTTCGTGTATATGTGTGTTTATGGGGGTGACTTGTTATTTTGTCAGTCGCTAGACACCTTTGTATGACCCTTTGGAGTCCAAGCAGGCCAAGGGCTGGCAGCTCGAGTCGGGACCTGCAGCAGCGAGCCTGTGGGAGGGACCCAGCCACTCCTGGACAAGTGGCTGAGCTCCTATCTGGCCTCTTTTTTTTTTTTTTTTTAAGTAACTTGTGTGTATTTCTAACTGATCATATAAAAAAAAATAGTATTTCAGTAAAAATGCCTGTTGTAAGATGAACCTCCTGTAACTTCTATCTGTTCTTTTTTGAGGCTCAGGGAGAAACTAGCATTTTTTTTTTTTCCAAACTACTTTTTGTCACTGTGACAGTTGTAAATAAAGTTTGAAAATGCTTTCCACTCTGGTCTAGTTCCCTTCTTTCTTCCACCTCTGCTGGAACTGGCAGAGCACAGCCCTGAGATGCCACGTTCATGGGAGGCTGAGTCAGGAGGAGATCCAAGTGAGGTTCTGGATGTATCTTGCCTGTTGGCCCTTCCGGGGTGAGTCCATCCATGGGTTTTAGTCACTTGGCTGAACGAAAGCAGCCTTCCCTTCTGTGCCAGCAGTTTTCAACCCTAGATGTACATCAGTATCACCAGGAAAGCTTTTTAAAAAGTACAACTATCTGGATTCTACCTCCAGAGACTTGGATTTCAATGGGCTAGGATGTGGGCCGAGCACTAATTATTATTATTATTTTTTTAGAATCATGGGGAGCTTTCAACACCCAGCCACAGTTTTAAGTCACCTTTCTTAGGGAAGACAAATACCCATGATATCTTAAAAGGTCATTCACAAAGACTCTGGGGGAGGAGTGGATGGGCTTGTATACAGCTAACAAGAGCTCTCGTAGCCATTCAGAACATTTACTGAGTGCCTATGATTTGTCAGGCATCGTTCACAGATTGAGATAAACACCATTAACCGTGGTCCCAGCCCTCACTGCGTTGCTTTAATGTAAATCAAATGACAAGGATAGTAAGGGCCACACAGGAAAAATAGAATGCCCTGAGAGTATCTGTTGGAAGGGCCAAGATGGACCTCCAAAGAAGGGGGTGAGGTGCACAGAGAGTGCTAATAGCAGAGAGAAGGCTGGGGATGAGCTTAACTAGTGGGGGTGGGGAAGGAGTGCCAGGAGGGCTGCTAATGCCTTGGTGAAGAGTTTGGATTTTATTCTATGTGCAGGGCATAGAATGGTATCATTTACATTTTTTTATGCCATCTCTGTGGAGATGGATTGGAGGGGACAAGATGGAAGGCCCAGAGTTCAAGAAGGAGGCTTCATGGAGGTGGGAGTAAAAGAGATGGTGCTTTGTGGAAAGGGTTTTCTGACATTTTCCAACCTAAGGCTGGATATTTTTGCCTTTACTTAGCCCATATCTGGGTTCATAACGAGTGAGTATAGATAATCAAGTGATCTGTGCTGAGGATGTCTCCCAGGATTAATAGAATATGAATCCATTTTAACATTAGCCTAAATAAAACGATCAGATTTACAGATCGGCTGCTCTGAGAATAACTTGCAGCCTTGTGTCATTCTCATCCTGGATTGTCCCTCTATTTCCTTCCAACAGCCTGAGGATGGAGTTTATTAGAACACAGCCTTCTTAGAGATAGCCCCTCATAAAATGGTCTTTATTCACAGATAACATCATCTATATAGGAAAATAAATCCACCAAAAAAACCCCACCAAAAATCCACCAAAAAACCCTCCCCAAAACAAAAAAACAAAAAACCTACCAGAACTGACAAAATGAGTTCAGCATGGTTGCAGGATCTAAGCTCAATATACAAAACTCAGCTATAGTCTATATACTAGCAATGGATAATTAGAAATTGAAATTTAAAATTACCACTTACATGAGCATAAAAAATATGAGGTATAGGGATAAATCTGACAAAATATGTGCAAAATCTGTTCAATGAAAACTACAAAACACTGTTGAGAAAAATTAAACTTACAAACAGGTATACCATGTTCATGGATCTGAAGATTAGCTGTTGTTAAGATGGCAGTTGTCTCCAAATTGATCTATAAATTCAACAGTCAAAATCCAGCTAGCTTTTTTTTTTTTGCAGAAATTGAGACTCTGATTCCGAAATTCATATGGAAACACAAAAGACTTAGAATAGCCAAAACAACAACTTTGAAAAAGAACAAAGTTAGAGGACCCAGATCTCATCATGAAACCTATTACAAAGCTACAGTAATCAAAACAGTTTGGTATTTGCATCAAGACAGACAAATTGTTCTGTGGAACAGACCAGACAGTCCAGAAATAGACACAAATATAGTCCATTGATTTTGACAAAAAGTGCCAAGGCAACTCAATGGAGAAAGAAGTCTTTTCTACATGTGGTGCTAAAACAGTTGTGTGTCATATGCAAATATCTCCTGGGGATAGAAACAAAGTCTTCACTTCTGTTTCCCATTGTCTCCATGTGAGTTTCTAAATAGAATAATTACTCATTTAGAGAAAAAAAATTTCCTCCTCTATGGCCAATTGCTTCAATACTCTCCCTGCTTTATCCCAGTTCACCTCCTCTCTCTGTAAAGGAAGAGTAACCTTGCTGTGTTATTCAGGCTGACTTGCATTCAAGGTCTACTCAGTCCCTCCACATGTAATTTGGACCAATTTCTTAATGTCTAGCAACCACAGCATTCTTTTCCTAGTACTAGGAAATTTTGAGCACTCAGTAGGTGCTCCATAAGTCAAGATTTTTTCTCTCTTCCCTTTAAAGATCTGGCAGTTAAGAAACTAGTCCCTGCCTTCTGTCCCCTGCTATTTGCTCAGGATCATTTGTACACACACAGTCAAGGGAAATCTCAAGGTGAAGACCCTCCTTTCCTGCAAATGCAAATCCATGTTCATCACCACGAGAGAGAGAAAGCAGGAAAAAGAAGAGAATGTTAATGTCTTGTCTTCTTTCCACCAAAATACTGGAGAGGGAAGAGGGAGACAGCACCCACAAAGATGGGCCTATTTCCTGGCTCCTTTTTAAAGAGGTGATTCTTGGTCAGAGACCTATTTGAAGTGATGCTTGAGTTTTGTGTATACTGGGGAGAGACTCCAGGTGGGGGTGATAGTGCGTGCAAAGGTTCTGTGGTAGAAACTGACTTGATTTTTTGAGGGATGTC